GCAGGAATGTGTACAGTGAAAATCTCAGAACATGTTAAAGGGCAAAAATGTTGAATATTAATTATTAAAACTTTTCTCAAAGTATGATGGCAAAATATGCATTATTACCAAATTGCAATCATTTTACTTTGCAGATTTTAATTTTGAAACTGGAGTGTTTTATTTACCCCATGCGTTATGTACTAAATGAGGGCTTCCATTTTCACTTATAGCGAGAAAACCACAGTCATTTGATCCAAAATTATGCACATAAGCCCATCCTGCTGCTACTGATATATTTTGAGATAAATTTTTGAGTGCTTGTACATACACATCCCTCTCTGAAAAGATTTGTTTACTCTTAAAGGATTCTGTAACTTATAGGGCTTCAATATTACACCATATCAAAGACGCTGATAACACGTAGGGCCGTGCATCTCAGACTTAACATAGTTAAAAGATGCCTTTAACAATTAATCTCCATTTTATAAAAACATTTACTTCTTTGATATTACTTTGTAAAAAAATACCCTAACCTCTCTTTACTACTCATCTTAGCTATTCCCTAGATCATGTTAACATCACTTTATACTCTTGTACTTTAAATCATATCCCTCGTTGAATGGCATACATGTGTTGTTCAATGATCTATGAGCTATATGATCAAGTGTCAACTCCATGCATCAATATCGATGGCATGGGAAACGTATGCACCTGCTGGCAAAGATACACTAAAGGATTTAAAGGTAATACTTTAGGCCTTTGTGTTTTGAGAGGTAAAAACAAAAGTGGTTGCATTGAGCACAACTACTTTTCGACATAAACTGCTTAAAAATGTATTTTGGAAATGTCCAGCCCATCTCCCCCCCCCCCCCCCCCAAAAAAAGTGAATCAATAGAAGATTTGGAGGTGTAGAGATGACAGAGACAAGTGGATACATTATTGGACTGTGAGTCACAAGATACGCGGTTTGGGTTCTGCCACTGTACTATTAAAATGTCCTTTGGCAAGACATTAATCTACATTCGCCACTCTACACCCAGGTGTTAAATTGGTACCAAAAATGGTAGCCTTGCAGAGTAGGTGCTAATATGAATAGAATTAAAAGTATCAAATATTACTATTACTTATTAGGAGAGAAATTTTGCTCTTTCGTATACCTCTTCATTTTTACGGGGTGTGTTTCTTAAGAGCATTTGGACGAGAAATGCATTATAAAGTACCCACACTTTCATTTTTTTTTAGAGCAGCAAGTCTTATGCGGACAAGTACAGTAGATATGAAGCTTGCAGACTAGACTATACATACACATTTGAGTACCGGTATACTTTACAGTAAATTGGGGTTTTTAGCAAAATAGTACACGTTCATAATGTGATATGTAAGCTTGACGAACCGAAACTGTAATGTAGTTTGTAGATGATTTACACAAAGTCTACATGAACAATGCACACAAGGTCGATACGTGCGCTATATAAGAATCCAATTGTATACATAAACTATATAACATATCCAACACTTTCATCAGAAATTTCTGACATTTCACTACAGCAACAAAACAAACACCATGTGAGTAGCTTTTTTGGTTTCAATCATTGCTATCATCGACCCAACTATGATTATTCTCACCCAACAATAACTACTAAATATTCATAAAGATGAAAACCACTAGATTAGTACTGTGTGCACTATGGATACCATATAATTTGATTTGTGCAACCTCATAATGAAGTCATTTTGTGGTAGAGCTCCCATGGAACAAATATTGATTAAAATTAATCTCATAAAATCCAGACTTAATTTGTGTATTGTAATCTACACTGTAGGCACACACTTACACACACACACACACTGAAAAACATCCACACAAAAATCATAAACCATACGGTAATTAACGTTGTATAAACCGCCCTCGTGTATTAACCGCATCCCTTTTTTTTTTTTTTTTTTTGTCAACTTTTTTTTGCCAACTTTTTTTTTTGCCGACTTAAAAAACAGTAGAGGACCTAGGATAGAACCTTAATTGTGGTACGCTGTGTAATAGAAGAAAAATTGGAGGAATTATTTTCATCTATCAGAAAGATTGCTTTCAAACCAAGATGACAGACAAATTTGAGTGTTGTTCTAGTTTCCGAGCGGTGAGTGAACACCAGCGCTCAAAATACACGGGGGCGGTGGGCGATTCGCCCCCATGAGCTACATAATCGCCCCCGTCAGGTTGCTCACGGGGGCGATTGCAAAATTAAAAATTGCCCCCCTGGAATTATAGAATAAAGATTATCTTTTCTGTTATAACTTTAACACAATATTTAGTTTCAATTTTCAAACCTTAAACCAATGAAACGGAACTTAGATTAGCGTGCAAGATTTCCCGTGCTATGAGTAGGCCTATTATTACCGATTCAGCTTGCAGTGCAGTGCCGCCGTCAGCAGTGGTTATAGGCCTACTGCGCCGTTAGTAACTGTACGTGTGCACGCTGCCGCGCCATGTCTGCTGGAGCTGGAGGCGATCGCGCAAGGGCAGAAACATGGTCATGGAGAAGTTTTTTGTTGTGAAAGCGTAAACCCGCTGAAATCTGGTGATTTCAAATGACCAGCAAATAATGAACCTCGACCAGTAAATCAATATACTTTTAAATGCACATATATTTGTTTTGGGGGGTCCAGTTGAACTGAATAAAGAATAATAGCTTTATATTGGCTCATACTAATACTGATACAAGCTAAAGTATTTTTATAGAGGTATTCCAAAATGACATTCTGATAATCAATATTTTGTTCTGGTATCATATGTATATATGCATAATACAACTGATCTCTATGTTTTCTTAACGTGACATAGCTTCTTCTCCCCCTGCAAACAAAAAGAAAACAAGGTTATTCAATAAAAGGATCATGCGACAAATAATCATTGTGATTCAAATCGTTGCAAGGATTTTTTTGAATAAGCAATGCTTTTCACCAGAATCTTCTTTGTAAAAATGACTTTTACAAATCACAGCCATGCAAATCTGCCACTGTGTTGTAAAATCACTTTCAGATTAGGAGAAATGTATTCTTTAATGAGTATTTTACATTGAATGGAACGTCTCAACTCAGTAAGCATGGCAGAGATTTGTTAAAGTTGTTTTTACGAAGAAGATTTGGGTGAATAGCAGTGCTTATTCAAACAAATATTCGCATCAATTTGAATCACAATCATTATTTGTCGCTTAATCCCTTTTGATGATGTTGTTTTCTTTCTCGTTTGCAAGGGGAGAAGAAGATATGCCACGTTAAAGACATCATAAAGATCAGTGTTGTATGCGTATATATTATATACACAGGCCCCGCGGAAGGTTTATCAAAATGGGGGCTAAAGTATTTACGATCAGGTAGAGGGTAGCGAGCGTAAATTGGTGTGGAGGGGGGGGGGTTCAGAGGTTTTAGGCATTTAATTACGGTCAGAGAAGCACAAATATTTTGATGCCGCATTTGTGTCACTGGCAGGTCAGGGGGGGGGGGGGCGTTTTCTATTTTATTTCTTAAGGTAAAATGTACGTTACTATCCTATTTTTTACCGGTTTGGGAGGCTAGGGGGGGGGGGGGCGGGCCGGTAGAATCGGCCCGTGGATCCGCGCCTGTCCAAAATAGCACACACACAAAATCGCCTCGCCGCTACGCGGCTCAGTAAAGAAAGAATGTAAAGGTTGCTCCGAATAATGAGGAGGAAATAATGTGCAGAACGGGAAAAAATCGAGAGAATGTCATCAGGGGATGAAAGTCAGTAACAGCTATGTAGCTTGTATGGATTATTGTATAAACAAGAGCCCCCGTCAGTACTAAAAGAGCCCCTGTGAGAAGGCTCACAAGGGCTCTTTTTGGGGGGAAGAGTTCCCGTGGACAAAAAATTAATTTGAGCCCTGGTCAACTGAGCTGGGAGACATTGCCAGGCATAGCGCCAGGTGGAGGGGCATAATTCGAAACTTTAATTTTTTTTTTTTTTTTTTGTACCGTGTATAAACCGCACCCCCGACTTTGAATTTTTTTTGGCGGTAAAAAAGGTGCGGTTAATACACCGTTAATTATATAAAGATTATAAAGATATTGTTGAATGAAGTCATATTGTACAAAGTAATCTTATTTCATGAAATTGTTTTCCTCTAAAAATGCAGTTCAATATCAATGGTTTTACATGTATTGTTTTCTTTTAGTGTATTAAAGTGTAGACCATATTGTCAAGAGTCTCCATATTGCAAATCCTTCAAGCAATGGAGTGCCTCTGAGAATACAAAACAACATTCCGCACATTTCACCACAAAGAAAAGCAATCCAATATTACGATCCACCATAGTAAACAAATATACCATGCACTGAGAGGCTCTAGTTGAAATTAAGGAACGAGGTGGCAGGAAAAGCAATTTTTTTAAATAATAATAATTAATGGAGGATCTATCGATAATCGACAGACCATCTAATAATAATAATAATAATAATTTCTGTCACTGATTGATCTCGATCAATCGCATAAATGTATCTATGACGTCATCCATGGTATAGCGCACTATACCATGGATGACGTCCCGGTATAGCAGATTTCCCTTATCGGTAACATCAGAGCAACGTTACATGTATGTTTGGTCACATGATGCTTGACCAATCACTGAACAGGATTTTGATAATGAAAAAATATTATATATTTTATGTGAATATTAAATCAGCTTTTGGAATAGGAGTTGAAAATTCAGAATGTCCGAAAATATTGTTCATGAATACGGGCAACATTTCTTCTTCTTTTTCGTTCAAGGTCATCTGTGGCGTCGGAGAGTCATTTCACCCTTTTCAACATGAACTTTATAATTTAGGGTTCAGACTTAATTTCCGCGGGGGGGGGGGGGGGGGGGGGGGGGGGGGGGGGGGGGGGGGGGGGGGGGAGGGCAGACTTTATATGGGGCCCCTGTGTGTGTCAGGCACCTGTTAGTGTTGAGCCCTGGGAATTGTATAACATATGCCTACTGTAATATCAAAAAGCATTAACTTACCTGTACCCGGAATGTTAAACCTCCTGCCTGTTTCCTATATACAGAGAGGGAGAGAAAGATATTTAGTAAAAAAAGGGTTCAGAAATGCATGTAACACACTTCAAATCATTTGCATTCACTATTTATTGATTTTGTCTTTGCCAAATCAATAACAATAATTTCCTTCATTCCAGTTCACATTGATGCAAGATTCAGATAATAAAGATCCATCCACAAAGGTTATTAAAACATTAGCAATGCCATACATTTTAATGAGAAATATTATTTAGATTCCAGTCGTTCGGTACCATTTACAATCAATCTCCATTATATAATTTGCACAGTGCTGTGTCAGTATGAATCCAGCTGCCAACACAGAGGTTTAATAAGAAAGGAAAGAAAACATGTCTTACTTCTAGAATCACATTGAGTTGTCTGAGTACGCCATGTACCTCTGCCTTCAACAGCCATTGAAATTCATCTTCCTGTATCAAACGGAACAAGAGCAAAGTATAATGGTGAGTTGAACTATGATCAATGGGGAATAGTGTAATAAGAAATAGATTATCATTATAACACATTAAGAACATATGAAAGTATTTCTTTTAATTTAGAAAATTGTAAACAATAAACATACCATATAAGTTTTATGTCAGAAAGTTGAACCCCTTCTACATGAACTAGAGAATATGTACAGTATGTGTTTATAATCAAAGTATTTTAAACCAAAAAGTCAAAAACAAACTGAACTGTTGTTTCGTGAGCATTTTGATTTTGTAACTATGTAAGAATGTTCTAATGTATAATCATTTTGAACTCATGGCTCAGTGCTAACTTGTACTTCCCAATGGAGGAGGGGATCATGAGAGGAGGAGGGGGGGGGGGTGTGGTCTGAAGCAAAATAGTGGGTCCTGTGTGCACCAAACCCCTGCTTACATTCTGAGATTTTAGATGTGCATTGAGAAATTTTCTAACAAGGCCTGTTTAAAGTATAGATGTGTAAAATTGAAGTACATGAACAGAATAATAATAATTATCCTTGGTTATATAGCGCCTAACACTTACATTACTTTATCAGAAGTCTCTAAGTGCTCTACAATAATGCAGCATAATTACCCTGGATTTAGCAGTGCAGCTGTTACGCGCGCTGTGTTTCAAGGAATAAATTCCTACCAGGTACCCATTTACTTCACCTGGGTGGAGTGTGGCAAATGTAGATCAATGTCTTGACGGACATTAGTGCGGTGGCGGGACTCGAACCGCGGACCTTGTGATCGACAGTCCGGCGACGTATCCACTCGACCGCAACACCTCTACCTCATGGTCATCAAACATTCCAAAAAACAGTAGCAATTCAAAAGGAAGGCTTGGGGGATAGAGCCCCCCCCCCCCCCTTAAATAAATTATAAAACCACTACTGCCACAAAATATAGATGACCACAATATAAAATATCAAGCCTTATAGTAATTGTACTATTTACCAATGCACTTGCACTTGTGTGTCCAACATGTAATGCACTGCAAACACTGCAAACTGTAACAACTTATTTTAACCTTGCATATACACCTACATGTACATGTAATAAACAAACTAATGGATGTTTTAACATTATATCTCAACCATTATTTTCTTAAGTAAACATAATTTGACACTTGATCTTAAATGTCATTTTTTTAATGGCACAATGTAATGTTAATGATACTAAGAAATTGTTGTGAACATGCACCACAATTCAGCCTTTGGCATTGTCAAATAAAACCATTGATGAACTGAATTGAGTTGAATTACGGCAAAGATGACACAGAAGTTCATGTGTAGTAATGCGTAAGTACTCCTCATAAAAGTAGAACATGTACATGAATAGTATGTCGAACAAAGCAGTAAAATGACAAACTGATACAGTATCATTATGGAATAACAATACTCACTTCATCACAAAAGTTTCTAAATCCATTTTTCGATACAAGCACCTCAAATGTACACTTCCAGAGAGTTTTCACTTGCAGAACCAATAGCAATTTTGTTCGATTTTTCAATGCGGCAAGCAGTGATTCTAGACAAGAGGTCCAAACTACAATAATATCTATCAGGTTTTTTATCAGAGAGCTTGCGATTGTCTGAGAGTCAACGAGGCCAAAGTCGACGTAATAAAGGAAGAGATTTACAGAGCAAATAAACATCCATTATTTATGTTATTTAATAGGGTGCTCTTGATTCCTCCTTCAAAAACTGAATCTCTTCACATGATCTCTCTCCTTGTTTTCTTTTCTCCTCTCCTCTCTTCTCTATCAATTCACTTTGGTGTGTTTGTGTTGCTCTCAATCAAAAGGCCGATCATACATCTCTGATATATGGTTCTTTTTAAAGGTATTACTGTTCAATGGCTCTTGTACTCCCCTCCACCCCCATTCCTCCTTTTTTTTTTTTCCTTCTTCTTCTTCTTCTTCTTCTCTTCTTCCGCCTCCACCGCTGGTGGAGGTTATAAGGATAATACTTGGGTTGGTTATCTTTTTATGTTTATATAAACAAAAATAACTGATGTTGACATAAATATTAATCAAAGCTCTAATCATTACTGAGATTTTCAATAAGCACAACAATATTATCAAAACTGAAACAAAGTCCAAAATTCTTTAAAAGAATGAAGAATAAGAAATCCTCTTTATTTCAAATAGAGATGCTTCCTGCCGCATGACTGTTTTTTTGTCTTCCTGATCCTAAATACAGAATTTATTTATTCATTAGATTTTTGAAATTCACTTAATGGTGGTGAGGGAAGGTGACCAGGCTAAAGGGAGGTTGAGAATCTAGGTTAAGGAGAGTAGCTACAACAAATTAAGGGCTGAATGTTAAGGGGGATATCCCCTTTACTATCCACATCCTCCTGTACCAATACATGTAATAAATCAGTGCCCATTTACAGCAAAAACACGATTAACCATTTTAGATACCGTACTTGATCTGGAAAAAATTAATGATTAATAATATTATGTCAATACAAACACATGTAGTGGTTAGTGGAAGTTGATTCTCTTGAAAATTCTTATTGAATAAACCCACTTGATGAAGTTAACCGTTATTTGAAATGTATAAATTCATATTTTGAGTTTACTTTACAGACTCAATACCATGTTTGATCTACCAAACACTGTAACACACACATACACATTGCTTCAAAAGGTTTGGGTTTTTTTTTTTTATGTAGAACTTCCAGAAGTAGAACTGTCTGTGTGTTAAAATAGTTTAAACAATTTTTCTTACAAAGCAAATACCCCGCTAATACCCATGTTGTCTTCTGTAAACTTTCAATCTTAGTAGAGGAAGACCTATTACAGTAAACCTATTACAGTAAACCAACTTTGATTCACAAACCTTGACAAACACTATTATCCCTTTAATATTGTTCATCAGTTTCTTTTGGTAATTTTCAGTGTGTGCCCTTTGAAGAATTATTCCTTTGAATAATCTTTACACTGCCTGCAAATTATTGAAAATAATCTACTGTCTGCACAGAAAAATGATTCTTATATTAATACAATCAGAGTCATAGTATATTAAAGTTGATTTTAATGAAAGCAGAAAAATAAGAGGAACAGGTCAGCGAAAGTTGAGCAAAATCCTATTAAAAATAAGAAAGTAATAATTAATCAACCACAATTGGGAACTCTGTGACATATTTTGCAAGGTTCGTATTTTGCAAGGTTCTCATTCATTTGCTCTGTACTAAAAAAACTTAATTGAATGACATCACATATTAAAAAAGCACAGCCAAAAGTGTATGTCCTTGCCAATTGACACTGCATGAGTTTCATCGCCTTCTAACTTTGAAAACGCACCATAGAAAAAACTATGTGGAGCTTAGCCTTGCATTATCAATTTCAAAGGTTATCTCTTTTTGATAGGGACTTGTTTGAACAGTAAAGGTGGTAAGAAAGAATCGATTCATTTGATCAATTACATGTACAGGTGTACATTAGATGGCCTACATTCTAAAAACCTGTTTTTTATAAAATTCAGTATTTAACAGATTACTTGATTGGACTTACCATATTTCTTTCTTCTTCGTCACTATCAATATCATCTGCCATCTACTGCCAAACGATTGATAGCCAACCGCTGCTGAACAATACTGCCTACAGTCTATCTCTCATGTACTTAAGAAGTTACAGAGGAGATCGTTGACCTTTGTACTTGGCATCTCCCAATGAGAGGATAATTGGTTCATCCTGTCAAAGAACAAAAGACACTTTTGAGTTGAAAGACAAAAAAACAGTAAAGGAAGTAGCATAAATTGACAAGTAGAATAAAAGAGGAAAAGCTAATCCTGTAGTAGTTACAGATATAATGTCCCTCTTCAGGAAAACAAGCATTTCTAGTAATTCAGAAATTTATGACACTTCTGAATTGCTAATGACTACATGTACATGTACTGTACAGTCTGTGCTTTAGCTTTTGAAGTCAATGGGCGATATTGAAATACTTTCAGAGGTCATTTTACAAATCTCAATGACCCAAAGAACTGAAATGCCCCAGCTTGTTTTCCTCCTCTTTCTCTTTCTTCTCCTTCTTTTTTTTCCTCTTGTTGTTGTTGTTGTTCGCCGCTTCCTCATCCTCCTCCCCCTCCCCCCCCCCCCTCTCTCTCTCTCTCTCTCTCTCTCTCTCTCTCTCTCTCTCTTCTTCCTCCTCCTCCTCCTCCTCCTCCTCCTGTAATCTCAGATCCTCATTAAATTCATGTAAGTAATTCACATTATGACGATGTTTATTATAACGGTTCGCTAACCTAACGCATGCGCACGTGCACCTCTTTGTTGGCATTAAGCCGTAGGGTGTCTGATCGCGCACTCAGTTTTGTGTGCTAAAATCCTTCCCATAGAGATTGCACACATCACTATGCAGTCCATGTGCATTGCGCAAAGAGCAGGTTTTTCTCCATATTCCCCATAGGGGCCCACCCCCAAAATTCTAAAAATATCTTGCTCAAAACAGCGATTAAAAAATGGTACATGTACATTAACTCAGAGATTTACCAATTTCACGAAGTGCTCCCCCGAGGGATAAGTTGGGCCAGCTGTAAAGAATATATCCATGCACTTATTTTTTCTCTAGTCCCAAGGATCACGAGCAGTTTCAGTTTGAAAATACCCTTACTCCACACTCTGCATATCGAGCTGTGCAGCTTTTGACTCTGCATGAACCACTTTTTTGTCCATTCTGACCGAAATGCTATGAATATTGCACAGTTTTTGAGGGGCTGTATCTTTTGATAGAATCATTGGTGAGTCTTGAATTTGAAAGGTATTATTCCGATTACATTTTTTTATTCCAATATCGAACAAAAATTGTGAAAAACGATCCCAAATTGAAAATCGTTCAGACACCCTTGGCATTAACTTAGCATTGTTGTTTGTTGGTACGGTATGCCGAAGTTACAAGTCACGGTCTGGATACGAAAGTACAATAGCGCCACCTAATTTCTGATAAGGTTGTATAAGTAAGACTAACCAAGACTACATTACATGAGAATGATGAGTGGCAAGATCAAGATTAGGTGAATTTCACAACAAACACAAACTCAATGGGATGGTCTACACAATACGCAAATGCAACCACATCACTTCAGCTCCGCCCACTTCGATACTCTTTTGGGTACCGATGCCTAATAATTTTACACGTTTTCAACATAACTTTATCTTTCAAAAGTAATTTACATACCTACTTTTCCCTGCTAGATGTGTTGACGTACAGCAACTGAAGTTGTTGTGGTCACAAATATGCTTTTCTTCAGAGTAAACACGAAGACGTGCGGACGTCCAGTCATATCACGGACGAAATATGGAAAACAAGGTGTCTCTATAATGTTTCAAACTAAAGATGGCGCTTCACTAATCATATTTATGCCAAAGATAAAGTTTACCGTTATTTTTATCTCAGCCCTAGCTCGGTCACAATAAAATAGCGGGGATTATTATATTTGTTTTGCGATTAAATAAATTGAATAAATTCTAATCAAATTAATGGCGAATTCATTACAATTATGATGAATTAAGTTGGAATCCATCACTTTTCATTGCCTAACAAATGAGTTGCATAAATCATTGATGTAAGGCCTATACCTCATTTTAAGATTCTTTACTAATCCTGTCTTCTGATTGGTTGAAATGCAGTCATGTTCTTAACCATGCCCGCTAATTGAAATTCATAGTCATTTTTCCCGGCTCTACCGGTTTATATCCATTTTTCATAGCACTTTTTCCATGGCTGTGAAACGTGACGTCATTTTGCTGCGATCCCCATTTTGGTTTACGTGTTACCGTATATAAGTTTCTTTTGTGCGATGACCGATGCGCAATACCGTTAACACGTAAACCAAAATGGGGATCGCAGCAAAATGACGTCACGTTTCACAGCCATGGAAAAAGTGCTATGAAAAATGGATATAACCGTAGAGCCGGGAAAAATGACTATGAATTTCAATTAGCGGGCATGGTTAAGAACATGACTGCATTTTCACCAATCAGAAGACAGGATTAGTAAAGAATCTTAAAATGAGGTATATAATTGTTTCTATAGGGTCTCGGGAAACTCACAACCTGCTATGACCCCGCGGCGCAAGCGCCTTGGGGTCATAGCAGGTTGTGAGTTTCCCTTGACCCTATAGAAACCACTATGCCTCTCAAAGCAGTCAATATATCCTTATTATGCCCATGAGTATTATGAAAGTGAATATTTAAAAATGGGCATGTATGTAGTTACTTCGATTGATAGGGCTATAGACCTACACTCTGTGTATGTATACGCCTGATAATGATTTCTTTTCCTTAAGGTGACTGTGCTTAACAAATACCCGAAAAATGCAGCCGCCCCCCCCCCCCCACCCCCTACACTCTCTCCAAAAAGAATTCTGGTACTAATTACTGCATATTTTGTTATTAAAGGCAAAACAATTAATTACCTGAACAGGAACAATTTGGCGGAGGATGAATGAAAAATTCTGGTGCTAATTACTGCATATTATAAAAGGTTAGACAATTAACTACCTGTCGAATGGTAAAGAGGGACAATTTGGCGGTGGATGAATGGGGTCGATGTAACATTGCCGCTAATTAAAACTTTGTGTAGGCCTTTTCTCAAATCATACTTCCTTGATGCAACAGGGCCCGGTTGGGATCGAGACCGTCATGCCCAAACTGAAGCGTCTATATACAGGCATTTTTTTGTTATGACCTCACGCCCCCACCCAATTGAAATTCCATTAAAGTCTAATAGGGCCAATTGAAATCAATAGAAACCAATAGGACCAATGCTAAATAGAAACCAATTGGACCAATAGACCAATACAATACAATAGGACCAATAGAAACCAACAAATCTAGGCATCTCATGAATATTCATTATCACTTTACACGTGTCACAGAAAAATAAATTTATCATGATTTAATTGTTAAGCAAATTATGACAATGCACATCAATTTTGTGATTTCTATTTTCCTTCGGCAATTATTCAACCAATAGATCATTTAGTCTGATCATGTTACAATTACATTCACGTTTTAGCAATTACTAACCAAGAAACAACATGCATATTTAGTGTATATCTGTACGAGCCTGTGTCTCTGTAAATGTAACTCTTGAATTCACTTCAAATGATCTATGTGATGAAGTTAATGCAAATGAGATTGGAATATACCTAGTAATTGGTGGACAGTTGCCAATATCGATTATGAAGTATCAGTAATTTATCACTGGTTCTTCTAACTGGATCGATTTACCAATTGAATCCCCATTGAATGCCCCCATTGAATCCCAATTCAATACCAATTGGGAATTTGGAGTACATGGAAAGTGAAACAATGTGTACCCATTGAAACCAATTGGCAATTGGTCCCCAATGGACCAACTGGCAATTGCTCCCCACTAAAACCAATTGCCAGTTGCGCTGGAGGGGAAAACTGAATTCAGAGAAGGATTAAGAGTCGGGAATGGAACAACGAATTATCTTCTTTCTCTAATAATTTCATTAAACTATGAAAGGTCAGAGCTTCCGCGCCTCGCGCGGAAGGTGGAAAATGAATTCAAACAAGGATTAAGAAGCGAGAATGAGACAACGAATCATCTTCTTTCTCTCATAATAATTTAATGAAGCGTCAGAAGCTTACGGGCTACGCGCGGGAGGAGGAAACTGAATTCAGACAAGGATTTAGAGTCGAGAATGAAACAACGAATCATCTTCTTTCTCTAATAATTCAATGAAACGTCAAAGCTTCCGCACTTCGCGCGGAGGGGGGAAACTGATTTCAGACAATGATTAACAACCGAGAACGGTACAACGAATCGTCTTCTTTCTCTAATAATTTAATGAAACGTCAAAGCTTCCGCGCTTTGCGCCGGAGAGGGGGGGGGGGGACTCAATTCAGACAAGGATTAAGAGTCGAGAATGGTACAACCAGGCGCGTACGCGGGGGGGGGGGGGGGGTGGGTTTTGGGGGGTTAAAGACCCCCCCCCCTTTGGTATTTTTATGGCTGTATACCCCCCTAAAAAATCCCTAAAACCCCTCCCCCCCCCCCCCCCCCCCCCCCCCACCCCCCTTTTTTTTTTTTTTTTTTTTTTTTTTTTTTTTTTTTTTAATTATTTAAAAAAAAAAAAAAAAAAAAAATCACCCCCATGGCCGACCTAAGAAAGGTGACCTTACCCCCCCCAAACGGAGCAAAATGTCAATTTTTTCAAATTTTGAGACAAAAAAAAAAAAAAAAAGTGTCCTCTTACCCCCCCCCCCCCCCCCCCCCCCCCCCCCCCCCCCCGCTTATTCAGCGGTCGGTTGAGTCGTTGTGATTTTTTTTGTGACCAAAAAAAAAAAAAAAGTGTCCTCTTACCCCCCCCCCCCCCCCCCACTGAGCGACTTTTTGGCCGGCGCGATTTTCAAATTTTCCTGAGTCGTTGCGAAATTTTGGACCCGATTTTAAACCCCCCCCCCCCCCTTGAAAAAATCCTGCGTACGCCACTGGGTACAACAAATCATCTTCTTTATCTAATAATTCAATGAAACGTCAAAGCTCCCGCGCTTTGCGCGGAGGGGGGAAACTGAATTCAGACAATGATTAAGAACCGAGAACGGTACTCTTCTTTAATTATTTAATGAAACGTCAAAGCTTCACGCAGGAGAGGGGGGAACTCAATTCAGACAAGGATTAAGAGTCGAGAACGGTACTCTTCTTTAATTATTTAATGAAACGTCAAAGCTTCCGCGCTTAGCGCGGTAGGGGGTATAGAAACTGAATTCAGACAATGATTAAGAATCGAGAACGGTACAACGAATCGTCTTCTTTCTCTAATAATTTAATGAAACGTCAAAGCTTCCGCGCGGGAGAGGGAAGGGGGGACTCAATTAAGACAAGGATTAAGAGTCGAGAACGGTACTCTTTCTCTAATAATTTAATGAAACGTTAAAGCTTCCGCGCTTCGCGCGGGAGGGGGTATGGAAACTGAATTCAGACAATGATTAACAACCGAGAACGGTACAACGAATCCTCTTCTTTCTCTAATAATTTCATGAACATTAAAGCTTCTGCGCTTCGAGCGTAATGGGGGGGGGGGGGGGGGGGGAGGGGACAGCGAGCTAGCTGCCCGAATATGAATTTGTTATATCTTTTCTCGTATATTTTGGTGATAAATAACACTTTCACAAAATACATATTATCCTCAAATTTTTGCTCGCTCGCTTCGCTCACTATATAGCCGAATTGTGAAACTAGAAAATTACTTTTTCGGGCAAGAGGCTTCAGCCCCCCCCCCCCCCCGATGAAAATGTCAAAAAAAAAAATACCGGTATGGTGCTTCTAATAATTATGACCTTGTCAGTATTGGTATGTTGAGTTGAAAAACTGTCTGCGCAATTTTCAAATTTCCGGCCCCCCCCCCCCCCCTATTGGAAAATCCTTGATCCGGGCCTGCTAATTAGTGGACAGTTGCCAATATCGATTATGAAGTATCAGTAATTTATCACTGGTTCTTCTAACTGGATCGATTTACCAATTGAATCCCCGTTGAATGCCCCCATTGAATCCCAATTCAATACCAATTGGGAATTTGGGAAAGTGAAACAATGGGTACCCATTCAATTGGCAATTGGTCCCCAATGGAACCAACTGGCAATTGCTCCCCACTAAAACCAATTGCCAGTTGGTTTCAATGGGGACCAATGCCAATTGGTTTCAATGGGTACCTACTGTTTCACTTTCCATTTACTCCAAATTGCCAATTGGGATTGAATGGGGACATTCAATGGGGATTCTATTGGATTTTCGTCTTGGGCATCTTTCCCACCGTTTCCTATTTCACATATTTTTTTTTTCCACCTTTAAGTTTTTTGTTGGTTGTTGAAGAATACTTCAAAGGGGCGGGGGTAGAGCCAGTGTGCAAAAATTAAGTCCTACTATTTATGATTCAATTGAAAATGGAAGCATATGATAATGTATTTTATTTAGAGGAAATGATATTGATCCTTTTGTTCGTAGTTGATTAAAAAATAATTTATTATCAGGGTAGCCAAAAGTTGCCATATTGCATGGAAGTAAAACAACTATCCCCTGTTTTTTTTTTTTCTTTCTCTCTCTCTTTCTTCTTCAAAGGCAATTAAAAAGCGGTTTGTCAGACAGGCATGCGAGGGATGTGGATGGAGGGTGGCACAGCATGCAAATCTTTATGATTTGTTTAGATTTGTTAAGCTCAAAATATACAAAGAATCAATATAGAGGAGTGGTTCAAAAGACAAGGGGATTAAAGATACAAAACACAAGAACATCACCATTAACCTGACAGGATGGCCCATGAAAGATCGAGGGCTTATTTACAATGAGGTCCTATTTAGAGAATCAGTATTGAATATGTTGAATATTTGCAATATTCATAGATGTAAAATATTTACAACGATTTTTGATAATAAAACAATTACAATATATATCTCATAGGCGCCGGAAGTGTGGGGGAGGGGCGGGGGCAGGGGTGCGCCCCCCCCGAAAAAATGGCAGTAAAAGGAGTATTTATTAACAAGAAGGTTTGTATCTTTTAACCAAATAGACAATACAAAATAATAGAACCTGAATTGAATCACATACAAATATTCTATTCAAAGAAAAGAAAAATAAACAGGAATCAATTTCCTAAACATTGGATTTTATAATATCGATAAGCGCATATCGTGGAAATATTTTGAGAGGATGGGAAAGTGTGTGCGTTTTTTATTATAGGGTTGAGAAGACATGAGCCCCTGAACACTGGCGTACTGATGGGGGGGGGGGTGCATGCTTGGGGGCATGCATGCAGTGGAAACAAAATATAGTACAGGGATATAGGCCTAGCTAGGAAATTATCTTTCTTCATTAAATATAGAACTATATATACACCAGGTATAATACAAAAGTGAGTGCATCCCTAATTTATTTTTGTATTTAAAAAAGTTGGGGTCACAATTAGCGCACAACATCATCTTCCTGATACAGTGTTAACGCACCAAGTAAAAGCTGAGGTGAAAATGTGTAGGAAAAATATATATATTTAATTTTGAGAATGATGATTGCAGTCCTAAATTATATTTGCAAAAATGTAGAATTGTTAAGTTTGACCGAACGATCGAAATTGGCATGTTTCATATTTTCCTTACTCTCCATTCAGCAAGCCTGAAGATTTTTTATCGATGGGCTCATTTTCTTTCTTTCTTTCTTTAAAAAAAGATCTCACATCAATGAACTGTTTACTAGGTTCATGGTTGTACACATGCACAAAACACAATCTCGCTCGAAGCGAAAATGTGCATGCTTTGACACACACGACCTTCGGTTATTGGTTTTCCTTTTATCAGGCAGTGCATACATGCTGCGTATATACCGGTGGTGTTTGTGTGTGATGTACCGTACCCATACCGTGTGTGTATGTAGTTTTGTGTGTATAATAGATAGCGCATGCAGGTCGCCTACCGTGAATTTCTTTGTGTGCAAATTGCATGCATGCAAAGTGAACGCGACCATTTTCACGGCGTCGATCTACTGACCGTCGCTCCGCTCGTTTCGCCGATCGAAAGAAAGACATTACATTATTCGCACATTTCGATTATTGTTTTGTTTCTGAACGTGGGATGATGATGTCTTCCTCACGGTCCTCTCGCGCAGAGACCCGTAGCCGCGCCAAAGATGAAATCAAAAGGGTAATGCAAGCAATCGACAGAGTAAGAAAATGGTGAGTTAATAAAAGTCTCGTTTCATTTCTGAGCTGCCTACGTGCATTGTAAGTGGTGCTTCTGCAACGTATTGTGTGTGTTGAGTGAATGGCTGTTCCCAGTTTGCCAGCGGCACAGAACAAAAAGGTCTCTGCTGATGTTCCAGTGCGTCCAAGTTCCAAGAATCCAATGCCTGTAAACTCTCTTCCAGTTTATTGCAGGTGCATAACCAGAGGGGCTGTAGGGGTGGCCTTGGAAAAAAGGGAAGAAAAGGGAGCAGACAAAGAAAAAAAAAAGAAAATTCAGAAAAGGATTAAGAGCCAAGAACGAACGCTAGACCCCTCTACAGCGAATCGTCTTCTTTCTCTGATAATTTAATGAAACGTGGTCAACTCAAACTCAAAGCTTGGGAGGGGGGGGGGGGGGGGGACTGAATTCAGACAAGTAAGAGGCAAGAGCGGTACTAGGCCTAGACTACTACTACTACAAGGAATCGTCTTCTTTCTCTAATAATTTAATGAAACGTAGTCGAAGCTTTTTGCACGAGAGGGCCGGGAAACTGACTTCAAACAAAGATTAAGAGGGGAGAACAGTACAACAAATCGTCTTCTTTCTCTAATAATTTAATGAAACGTCAGAGCTTCCAAAAATAGGAAAACTCCCACCCCCTTAGGGAGCGCTCTGTAAGTGATTTGCATGCTCAATACCCCCTAAAATAAAATCCTAGCTATGCTCTTGGTTTATTGCACAGTAGAAGAGTTTTCTCACCATTTAGACAGTCGTGGGATCCAATTGACTCCAGTCATGATGAGATTTACTGGTAGAAATTTGCACAAGTGAAGCGCACAGCCACCAGCACTGCACAGCATGTGAGTGTCGAGACCGAGACTGAAACCCCAGCCCCTGCCTTTTTATGCTTCATCTCTTTTCCCTTCTTCTTTTTTCCCTTTCCTTTGATATATTTCTTTGTTCCTCTTCCTCCCTCCTGATTCTTTTCACTCTCTCTCTCTCTCTGTCTCTCTCTGTCCCTCGTTAACAGTTTTCTTTTCTCTTGTTTTTACAGGGAAAAGAAATGGATAACCATTGGTGACACGACTTTGAAGATCTTTAAGTGGGTTCCTATTATAGAGGCGAAGAAGAAAACAGATGATCAGAATGGCCAGGATGACAAGACTAGTGAGACCAGTAGCCAGGGAGATGCTAAAAGCATGAACGGGGAACAGGAGAAAGAAAACAGATGTAAGAGATACCCTCCCCCCCCCCTCTCCCTCGGCCCCCCCCCCCCTCCCAAAAAAAAAAATTTAAAAAATAAATAAATAAACAATGACAAAATCTTGTAAATATCAGACGATTCAGTGTTGACTGCTTTACTATTTGATATTTTCTGTGTACAATGTGTAAAGATGCTAGTAGGTCAACTTGAACACAACTTTTATAACAATAATTTCATTTGTGTATGCACTGCAGGGGCTCAAAAGCAATTGAAAATTTGTTCTGATATTGTCTGACAGTAACTGAAATTGACTCACCTGAATACCATAGAGCACATGGTGGACCCATTTTACAAAACCTTTTTTCAATGACAAATGACAAAAATCAGTGACAAATCTGCTGATAACCAATCAGAAGCAAGGTTTTCAGTAGCTTATAACAAAAAACTGTCATTTGTCACTGATGACAAATTTTGTGAAATGGGGCCCTGGATGACAGCAAATCTTGTAACATATTCTTGTTTCTCTTCCCTCTCTGCATTCTTTTGTTGTGGCCTAGAATCTATATATTGTGAAAATTCTTGGAACAGAAAAAAATGAAATGTTAAAGCATATTGTATCCTGTACAAGTAATATATATTTTTATTTTTAAGACGATATATTGATAGTGAATTTAATGTTACAAATGTTTTTGTTTCTCTTTCATTGTGAAATTATACAGAGTATTTCAATTTCTCTGTTTAATTGGTTTACTTATTCTTCTTGCAGTTGATAGCAATTCACAACAGACTACTCCAGTAAAACTTAGAGACATCCCTAATCTTGAAGATTCCAACTCAAGACTAAGTAAGACAGTTTGTTTGTTTGTGTGTTTGTTTATTTAATTGTTATGCTGAAACTTCTATTTTCTTCATGATGATGATATCAAACTGCATGAAGTTTTGTTGGTAGGCCCATAGCCATAGGTCTGAAAACATATCACATTGGTGGTGTTATAAACTTATCCCTTGAAATTACATGTACATGTAGGTGTAGTATTTATTCCTCTCCTAGTCAGTTTAGTACTTGAAATGCAAGAATCAAGATTGCCTTTAAAATCCCATATGACTTAGGTTGCGTTTATCTAGCAAATTTTTGGCTAGAATCAGGTTTCTCAAACGTCTTTCAGGCAAATTTAGAAGTTGATAAACGCAAAGCCTTTTTCAAACGTCTTTAGATATGGGCATATCTAAAGACGCAAAAAGGTGCGTTTTGAATGTGACATACAACCAGAATATAAACGCAAAGCTGTTTTGAACCTCACATACAAATAGGACCCCCCAGGTGTTGTGTACAAGCATGTGTGTGAAGATGACCTCCGAGAAACTGCTTCCCGGGTCAAAACAGCTGGGCAGACACAAGGCCTTTATTTTGAATCGTGAAGGGACGATATACGCGACATCCCGCAAATCACGATCGTATAGTGGGGTTCGATAGTGGGGTACGATATGTACATATCTAGTGGCAAGCCCTGATAAATGCGCCCTTACACTTACAGGTTCTTGTAATTTGATCTTTATCATCTTGTCATGCTCTATAGAACTTGTGATAAAAAATGGATCAGTTCTAAGAAAGCCAGTATACATGTAATGCATACATTGTACATTGTCCTTTGTACAGTGTATGTATTCAATACTAATAATGTGCCGTCAAATCTTTTATATTTTATCTTTATGACATCACATTATGCAAGTGTGACCGAGTACATCCGTACAACAAGTAATATAACATCTTATTTTTTTTAGCAAGTTTTGTAGTTACACCACGTATTCTTTCTCAAGATGGAGAGATAGAGCATGAGTGTGACCTTTTCAGGGCCAACTAACCCTGTCAAAAGAATACATGGTGTATCCCCAAACCTCGCTCAAATCTATCATCACCATCAAAGACCTTGGTGTTTTAATCGACAAAAATCTTACATTTCAGCAGCATATTAAAAACGTTTGTAAATCCGCATCTTTTGGAATCTTCAAAATTGGGAAAATTAGGAAACTACTTGACCGACCCACAACTGCAAAATTAACCCATGCTTTTGTATCCTCCCACCTTGATTATTGTAATTCAATTTTTTCTGGCCTTCCTCACTCATACTTACTTCCACTCCAAAGAATTCAGAATACTGCTGCAAGGCTTGTTACTCTCTCGAGAAAATTTGAGCACATAACCTCAATATTGCGTTTTCTCCATTGGCTTCCCATACACCATCGTACAACATTTAAAGTTCTTCTTCTGACATACAAAATTCTCCATGGCCAAGCCCCTAAATATCTTTCAGATTTGATTTCCTTACGTTCTTCCTGTTCTTTAAGACCTCTTCGATCATCATCAACCTTGCAGTTAACCCTTGGACCTCGTTCTGTTACAAAATATGGCGATCGAGCTTTTTCAGTAAATGCCCCTATCCTTTGGAATAAATTACCAGCGCATATTCATAATACCCATTCTCTTGACCAGTTTAAGTCCTTACTGAAAACGCACCTTTTTAATTCATGAATGCCATTATGCAGTTGTGAGTAGGTCAAAGGAGGTGCTCACCATATTATTCTTTGTTTGTTTGATATTTTGTTTGATCTCATGTTTGACCTTATGTTTGTTCTCATTTTCATTTTTGTTATTATATATGCTTGATTTATTGAATAAAGATCATATTTATATTTTTTGTGTTTATTACAAGCTTTAGTTGGTAATTTTAAGTCAAGACAATGGTGCGCTTAGAAACACCTGTATTAAGCGCCTAATAAATGTTATATATTATTATTATTATTAAAGCCTTCAAAGATTACATTATATAACATCAATGTCTTATCATTGTTCTTATTCCATAAATAGCGCCCTCATCAGCGTTGAGTTACGATGAGTCAACCATGGACTCTATGATGAGTAGCGATCTAGATGAGAGTAGTAATCAAGGGCCAACTGCAGAAGGTAAGATAACACACTTTTTCATTTTCCTTGTGTTTGTTTAGATATTTATTTCTCCATTGCCACCTCAGACCTGCCTTGAATATCTTGTCTGTATCTTGTTCATTGTGGTTAACTGTTCTTTGATTGTGATTAATAAGGACTTTAAAAAAAAAAAATTGCAATTATTCTGTTTCTTTATCCCCCTTTTGCTCTTGTGATCACTGAAGTCCTCTGTAGAAATTATTTTCAACTACTATAACTCAACAAGCTATTACGAACTTGTAATTATAAATTTCATACAATGTGAGTCACAGATCTTCAAACCTCTATATGCTACACATGCATATTCAGATTTCTTAAAAATCAATTTTGGGCAAACTTTCCAAATAGTTTTGAAATTCTAGTACAACATGAAGGAGAGTTATTTACTAGGAATGGCTCACGTCTGAAGCTTTTATGATGCAATGTGCATGGCAATCTATTTCTTTTGTATTGATTGTGTCTATAAAGGAACCTATTATGTGAATAAATTCCCACTATTTTTCAATTTATACCACCTGGAGAAGTGTCTTGTTTGGAGCCTAGATTAGTAGGATTTGTGATCGTGGTATTTGTCTTTCTTTTTGGTAGATGCTGAAAAGAGCAGGTTCACATCAAGTGAGAATAGGATTCAACCTCCTGATGTCCAGCCAAGTATAGAAAAAGAAACCGATGAACAGGGTAAGAGTTTAATATGTCTCCTCTCCCTATTCCCCTCTCCCCTCCCCCTCCCCCTCCACTCTTCCATTCTCCTACCCCTCCTCTTCCTCCTCTTAACTCCCCTACCCCTCCCTCCTCCTAATGTCAATCCCTGTATAGACAAATATATCAATAGATTTAGAGGGTGACATATTGATGTCCCATTCTCCCCTCTTCCCACTCCTCTGCATTATTATGTAAAAGGTAAAGAGTTTGATTTCTCAGAAACTATAAACTTTCTTTCTCAAAGTATTTATTATATGGAAATGATGCTTGCAGGTATGAACTTACCTTAAGTGTCCATATTTTAAAAATCTATGTTGATAAGATTACTATTTTGTCTGATTCACAGTCATCCTAACAGCTACCTTTGTTTCTCCCATTGTTTCTTGCACCATATAGACTCACCATCAAAAGATGAAGAGCCCCCTCTGTTGACAGCAGAAGAGCCAGTTTCCAAACAAAATGCTAGACCACATTCTGCAATGGTGAGTATACAGAAGCTTACTGAAGTTTTGCTTTGTATCCTTTCTCTTGAATTCCATTTCATTTTTGTCTCGCCTGCGTAGCAAAAAGCGAGACATAGGCGCCGCTTTTCCGGTGACGGCGGCGGCGGCGGCGTCAACATCAAAAACTTAACCTAAGGTTAAGTTTTTGAATTTTTGATATAATTTTTAAAGTATAAGTTCTTAGTCAATGAAACTTTGACTATAGGGTAATCAAGTATCCCCAATCATGTGAGTAGAATTTCAGATCACAAAGTCAAGGTCAAAGGTCATTTCAGGTCAACAGACTTGGACTATGTTGTAGCATCATCATCGAAAACTTAACCTAAGGTTAAGTTTTTGAATTTTTGATATAATTTTGAAAGTATAAGTTCTTAGTCAATGAAACTTGGACTATAGGGTTATCAAGTCTCCCCAATCATGTGAGTATAATTTCAGGTCACTAAGTCAAGGTCGAAGGTCAATTAAGGTCAACAAACTTAGACTTTGTTGTGGCATCAACATCAAGATTTTCAAAATGCTTCTTCTTCATTATTTTTCAACCGATTTTGATTCTGATTGTTTCATATGATAGGGCTAGGAGGGGGATTTAAAACTTCTATACAGAAGCATGAAATTCATTATATATGCTAATTTATGCAAATTTATTCGAAATCACAAAAAATGCTTCTTCTCCTTCATTTCTTGACCGATTTTGATTTGGTATGCCTTATCTGGTAGAGCTAACTTTGGTACACTAGACTTCTACACAGAATTTCAAAATTGTTCTCCATTAATTAATTATGGTAATTTATGCAAATGAAATGAAATTATGTCCCCTCCAGGGCATCAAATTTTTATTTTTTGACCAGTTCAAAAGTGTACCACATAAAATTTATGATATTTGTTGTTGTGAGATGCGGATGAGCGCTGACGTTCTGGTTTATCATATTGAATTCCGTGATTTTGTGTCAGTTTTTATTTCCATTGCCCTACTGCTGTGACATAGTGGGTGATAGTTAGTTCATGTCCTCAGTTTTGACCAATCAAAAGTCTACGATCTTGATAGAAGTGTCGTGGTAGAGTGGTTTATTAAGCACTTGACTTGCAATAAGCCAGTTCATGGTAACAGTCTGAGCATGAGCAGATAAAGGTCATTGCAGAACAAATTTTGAAATACTTTGAGACAAAATACTGGATACATGCTCATGAAAGTTATGTAATCATTATTCATTTGTGCACAAGCAGTGCACTCCATGATACACAGGTGGAAGTATTATTTGAATAGGGGAAACAAAGGCTATTTATGTTGCACCTCCATCGCTGTAAGAGTGATTATTTCAAAATGTACAAAGTGGGACCTCTTCATGTTTTGAAGATCTGTGGATATTCAGGGTCATTGTAAGAATGTGCTTACCGTGAACTGGTCTATTCAAGGTCGTGGTTCGATCCCGATATGGCACTAGTGTCCTTTGTTAAGGCATTACTGATTAATCTTGATTTGCCACACTCAACCCAGGTGAGGTAAATAGGTACCTGGTGGGTATTCATTCCTTGAAATGCTGGAGCGCTGTAATGGCAGCTAAGCTAAAGCCGGGGTAATAATTAATGCCTCTCGGATAGAATTTCTAGATAGACGGCGCTATTGAAATGCCTATAATTATGCATTTTGTAATAGTGATTTAATTTGTTTGTACTTTTCATTTGTTACTTGTGACAGGATGATGATCCAGATGAACCGCCCTCCAAGCAACCTCGTTTAGAATCTCAAGTCAGTAACAACAGTTGATGCAACTATGCCTGCATGTAGACATCATCGTGCGACTAAATGAATGTGAGCTATAGACACATCATTGATCCTTGTATTGAATTGAAATGAGCATGGCAGGCAGGGCCTTGTCTATGGTCGTATATTTATGTGTACATTGATGCAAACCATTTTTTAAATTATTGTGAATATTGACCTGTAAATAGGAATGTAGGCATTTGAGGAAATGTTTGTTTTCGTGTTGCCGTGAAAGCCTGACAGTCTCGTACCCTGAATCATAGAATATAAGGCTATATCCACTATTGTGCACCTTGTCTCCTCTCCCATTCATGCATTGGGAAGGGGGGAGCCAGACTAAAAAGGGGACTCGGTCTTAAACTTAAAGGCTGTCTGTACTAGTTTGGCTAGGAGGGATTAGACCATCCAGGGTGGTCACTGACAGGTGGCTATCTCATCAAATCAGCTCTCAATTAACATAAGAAATATAGAGGGTGCAAGTGTTCAATATACAATGTATATTTATTAAAAAGAGTGAAATCTTTTCTCCCAGGAATACATGCCAGTTACTTGTATGTTATGTTATGTTAGGGATTAGGCAATAGCTGAACATGTTAAGAACAATGTGTTGAAGAAGAAGAAAAGAATTGTGGGTTGCCCGCAAGAAGGCCATTACTTTCATTGAGGAGACACCGAGGCCTTCTTGCGAACAGGCAACAAAACCCTTATACCACAGGGCGCTGGTTCAAATCTAAGAGGGACAATCTCTTCAATTAAGAGGTAAATAATACTACCTAGAGGAACATATTTTGAATAGAAAGCTTTACTATGAAAAAGACAACAACATAACATGTAATAACAATCTTCTCGAGCATACTCGTGTATGTCATTGAAAACAAAGTTTGGAACAAACCTATAAGGTATTGAAATGTATTTAAAGAATCTATTTCCAAATTATTTTATAGAACATACCTCATAGAAATCACTGCTCTTTCTTGGGAAAACTATGAATCACTCTCATTTATTTTTGTATAATAATGAATTCACCCTTTTTATACTGTCCGATTTGTCGATTTTTAATGTACCCAAAAAACACAAGAAACATTGATTTTCCATGGCAATCAGTCATCCACTCAGTCAGGACTTGAACTGTATGTAATAATTGTCTGCTTCAAGAATACCATCCTCAGTATTGTTGCCTTGAAAAGTCTACGATATGAGCCAGAGAAATAACTTGAACTGGAGAAGTTGTATAATGTAATCATTCTGATAAGCCTTTGCCCTGCTGTAAAAGTCTGGAATGCATTTTATTTTATTTTTTGAGGAAGCAAGTGTTTACTGGGTTCTATTGCTTGAACTTCTGTTTCACTATCTCTTTTGCACACTTGTTTTGCATCTATATATTGTGTTTGAGTAAAAAGAAGAGAAAATTCGCCATATAAAATGTTGAAATACAATTGTAAGTAATACAGAGTACACATATACATGTACATGTATTTTGTTTCAAGAATATAAATAAAACATAGTGTATTTTTCAATATGTTCCCATAACGCCAAGTGATTTTGCACAAAATGTAAACACCATGAGCGTACTGTGGTCTGTGGAATCGAATTTGAAAATGATTCAAACAGAGATAATGCTGTGATAACCTTTTTTGTTGAAAGACCAGGGTGGTGTTTCACAAAGATTCTAAGTTAAACTTATCTTTAAGTTGGACAATTATGGAAAGCCATTAGCATCTTTCAAAATATTTTGTAAAAGTTATTTTTAAATGCATAAAATGTTGATTCAAATCATTCATATTTTCTACTATCATGGGAGATTTCATGTTCTTGATGTGTAATTTATGAAATGTCTAAAAAAAACTTGAATGTTTGCTTTTGAATATATTTCATTATATAGGCTACAAATGGCTCTCCATAATTTTAAAGTCGAACTTAACTTAAGAGTTAAGTTTGAATTAGAATCTTTGTGAAACACCCCCCTGCGCTGTCTAAATTAGAGGAGTTGCTCCAGGTGAGGTGAAAACAAGTAAAATTTAAATTATGACTCTAGTCTGTACTTCTTATTTGATGAATAATAATCCATCAATGATAATCTTTTATTCCCCTCCCAAAACATCATTATTTTTTATTACATTCTATTGAAAAATTTAATACATGTAGTACACATCTATTTTTACATAGCATTATGCATTACAATTATATTTGAGTACAAACTACAATATATTTCATTGCACAATGTGAATCTTGTAAATTTGTTCTTTTAAATGTACTGTATGTGACTTGTAATAATTTCAATCTCATTTCCATCATTATTTGAGAATTCTCAATTGCTTATTTTTGCCATTTCAGTTATTAACATGTTATTTTAGACAATGTCTAAGACTCTAAGTGGTTATTATTTGAATGTTACTTTCAGTCAATGTTATTGAATATTGATAATAAAAATGTGAATATTTGTACGTTTTGTTCAATGCCTGCTTGTTTGGATGTTGTTGATTTTTTTTTGCCCGAGATTATTTGACGAAAGACATCTTAATGCTGTTTCCTAGTAAGGGGAATTGTCTCTCTCGCTGAAAATATTTGGTTGAGCCTGAGTGAAAAAAGTAATAATATTAATAATAATAATAATAATGATGATCATGGTGATAATCTTTCGCTTATATAGTGCATCATATATCTCTATCCATTGAAATGCTCTGTACATGAAAATCCATTACAATTAAACATAACTACATCATATTGAATTAAATGGCATTTCATTACAATTAAATACAATATATTACATTACAATATATTACATTACAATGCGTAGCATTGCATTGCAAATGAATAAAAAATGAAATATGACAAAAAGTAAAATAGCAATGTTAACATGAATATAAAGTATGTCGGGTGCAGGAAGTGACTTCGAAATGAGGACAAAATAGATTAAGAGGCAGGGAGGGGAGGTACCAAAATATAGGCGTTCCAATTCTTGGACCTGGAAACAAAAGAATTCATGATTTTGAATAATTTGACCCAAATGACATAATGAAGATTGTGAATTCAGCATATAACTTTCAATTTCCAATCCCGTGTTATATCCATGTAGCTCCATCTATCGTTGACATCATAGGGGAAGGGGATATCTGAAATACAGAATACGACCTTGCTGGCAAGCAGTTACATAATCCACACAGTATGCTTCCATTAGCCTTTATCAATAGTGTCATCACATTCATGGTACGTTTGCTCTATTGCAGTCTGTATTTTGCTGTCAGCATACATTGAGTAGTAAATTAATTGGTTCATAATAGATTCAGAAATTATGGCAAAGGTTGGTGTAGTAAGGAGAAATTTGATTTCTCATATAGTGTTCGTAATTATATTGATGAAATTATTGTCGAATCATGTGTGCTTTTCATCAGCTTCTGTTTTTTAAAGAGCCAACCACTTTAGTATTTTAGAAACGAGGGCATTTCAATTCAGTAATATTTTATTAAGGGCTAATGCAGGCGAGTGTTGTTTGTCCATACCATGTTTAGAATCGCGTCTAGAGAGAGAGAAAGAGACTCCGAGAAAAAAGGTAGAGAGCTGAAAAATAAACAGAAAAGAGACAGACTAAGAGTGAAAGAGCAAGGGGAAAAGGAAATACTGAGAGAGAGAGAGAGAGAGAGAGAGAGAGAGAGAGAGAGAGAGAGAGAGAGAGAGAACTATGAAGGAAAAGAGCAGCAGAATGAGAAGGAAAGAATAATAAAGACAAGAAAGAGACAAAGAGGGGGACATAAACAAATAACAACAGACATAAATATAGTAGGAGAACGAATTAGAGGTGGGAACAGGGTGGGAAATGAGAGAGGAAGAAGGAGGAAACAAAGACGGTTAGACAGACGGGGGAGGGGGAATGGGGAAAAGGGAAATAGAGAGAGAGAGAGAGAGAGGGGGGGGGGGCGATTGAAAGAGATACAGAGAAACCGGGCAGAGAAAAGGCAGGAAGAGTGAGAGAGAGAGAAATATAGTTAGAAAGAGTTACAGAGAAAAGGCAGGAAGAGAGGCAAAGAGAAATATAGTTAAAAAGAGACAAAATTAGAGAGAGGGGGTGAATGAATGAAAACGAGAGAGAAGGTGAATGAGAGAGAGAGAGAGAGAGAGAGAGAGAGAGAGAGAGAGAGAAAATGGTTGAGAATAGCTGGGGATAAAGATATAACGGATTATAAATCAATTAGAGGAGGGTATAAGAAATTAGAGTTAGATAGACAGTGTGGTTTGGGTGAGGAGAGAGAAGGTCGAGGGAGAAAGCCGGGAGAAAGTAAAGACAGATCGACAGACAGATATACGGCTCGACATGGGTGCATAAAACAAAGAAGGGCGATATAAATAACCCTTTGACATAAGCACTCTCCACTTCACGAGCAGACACCTCCAACACTCAACAGCAAAAGCCCATTCACCGCAATCGTTCGCGCGCGTCTTGTTTCCATGGTTACCAAAGCTCGTCGTACAACCTGCCGCACTTGTTCGCGTTGATTCGCTCCGAACTGGAGGCGTGTGAGCGAGCGAGCTGTATATGCTTTCGCTAGCAATGAATAGAATCGACTACCCTTGAATCGTCTATATGCTTTGTGTGCGATCGACCCCTGTCCAATCATCTACCCTAACATGTAGAAAGCGCCGAGTATACCGGGAGAGTATATCAACACATCAATAATAATGGAGGGTATATCGTAGCTTCTATACTTAAAGCCAGCGTACTTTTATTTTTATATAATTACACGTATGGTTATATCTTGTGATTGTGATATATTGCAGCTCATTTTGAAATCTAGGATCCATCTTGATTGCCATCTCATATTATGGAATATAGCGGTGATTTGTATGCAGGAAATTGAACCAACATAATTCGGAGCAATTCATGGTTTTACGTTCAACGGGACTGCATAGTGCGTTACGAATATATTCTTCATAATATATCTCTTTGGAACACAGATGATAGATCTCATAGTGTAGCCGCGTTGTAGTCGACATGATTGTATTCAATTTTCAAATTTTATATTCCCGGGTATGAGATGAATTGAAAAGCTTGATCTTGGACCATGGGTTCTTCACCATCGCTCTGTGGAAGTGAGACATCGGGAGTAGATCCTAATGCCCATTTCCAGCAGCCCCAGGCACCAACAGGCCGATTACATACAAGAGAAAGTAATGATATCCTAGCTGGTCGTCCACCGCCCCCACCTTACAGCCGCACTCAACCAAGCACTAACCGCGGTTACGTCGAGAACCCTTACGGTAACTACAGCAGCGGCTATCCACAGCGTGCACCTGTCTTCAAGCCTAACGAACCGCCCCCTCCCTATACATCACCGCTGCGGACTAACCGCGTCCCTGCTCCCCCTCTCGCAGCGGTCAATGCAAGGCCAAACGTGGTCAACGATCCCGGGGACCTGTGGTTGTATTCTGAACAGCCGCCATCGCCCATTAACAATACTGACGAGTCCGACTTGCTTGAAAACGGCGATGATGTGGAAGACTTTGAAACACATCCAGATGGGCAGCTTGTTCTTACCTCAGACAAGGTATACCAATCCTACTGGTTTCTGAATGATAATGATAATTGTGATAGTATTAATAATATTAATAATAGTTGATGATGATAATAATAATAATAATAATAATAATAATAATGATGATATTAATAATAATTTTGATAATAATAATTTGTATTCATAATGATAATATTAAGGCCTTTTTGTGTGTGGTGGTATAGGTGTTGGTGTTGTGGTATATAGTTGTGGAATGCGTGTATCATCAGTCAATGTATAAACAAAACCGTCAGTTGAATTATAGGCCCAATTGAAGAAAAAAAAATCCTTTTTATAAGCAGAGTCCAGGCAATTAGAGTGAGGAGGCAATATTGTGCATATTATTTGTTTATGAAATTCAAATTGATATTGTGTTGACAAAAAGAAGAAAACAATATTTCCCCAAAAATGTATATATTTGATAATGAATTTGTAGATTATACCCTATAGATGTTTATATTTCACATGCACCAAAATGTGAGAAGAATATTAAAGACGTAACATTTCGAAAAATATTTTTATGTAGTCATGTGCGTCATCTATATTAACATGTGCAAACATGAATGACGTAAATCCGAATAATTACCTTCTATTGGACGTACAATACGGTATTAAGATATATTGCCCTTGAGTTCTTCTTCGAAAATAGTCTCGATCGTGTCATCATAAAAGTTGTAAAACGGCAGAGGAGAGAATAGCTAATATTAACATGATCATTCAAATAATCCGAAAAAGTTATACTCCTTTCGTGAATGCGCTCACCGTTGAGTAAAGGGCCTTCTCGCTCTCAGAAGAAGTAATGACAATTTAAATAATGATGATCGTCGACACAACAAAAGTGTGTATCAAGGCAAATTGCCTGGCAACGGTGCTGATAACAAAAATGCTTACATAACAGCTCAGCATTTATCCATTAGGGTTCCCAGTAGTCATGGTAATCAGATGGCATCGACAGTTACGAACTTTTACGAATCTGGGTACATATCGTTTCTTTTTTTAAATCTGGAACACAATGCTAGAACAACTCCTTAAACCAGACTAATTATTTTTTCCTGAGGGTGTACAGGAGAATGATGAGAATATCATGGAAAGATATGAAAACTAACAGAGAAATATTGCATATGAGAATGGGAATGGTACGGAGCCCGGGAAGGGACATGGTAAAAATATTTTTATCTCGTTAAAACGAGATAGTTATCTCGTTTTAATGAGATAGTATCTCGTTAAAACGACATAGTATCTCGTTTTAATGAGATAGTATCTCGTTTTAATGAGATAGTATCTCGTTAAAACGACATAGTATCTCGTTTTAATGAGATAGTATCTCGTTTTAATGAGATAGTATCTCGTTAAAACGACATAGTATCTCGTTAAAACGAGATAGTTATCTCGTTTTAATGAGATAGTATCTCGTTAAAACGACATAGTATCTCGTTTTAATGAGATAGTATCTCGTTTTAATGAGATAGTATCTCGTTTTAATGAGATAGTATCTCGTTAAAACGACATAGTATCTCGTTTTAATGAGATAGTATCTCGTTTTAATGAGATAGTATCTCGTTAAAACGACATAGTATCTCGTTAAAACGAGATAGTTATCTCGTTTTAATGAGATAGTATCTCGTTAAAACGACATAGTATCTCGTTTTAATGAGATAGTTATCTCGTTTTAATGAGATAGTATCTCGTATAAGTCCATTGCATACTGGAACCGGGTGGTCCCTGTATTAACCCAGATAACAATACGACGTTACGCCAACGTGGGGCCAACGTTAGCTGTTACGTTGGTCCAACGTCGCCAACATGATGTTGGGCCCACGGCTTTCTTGCCGGCGGGCCAACGTTGGCCCGACAGTGACAAAATGACATTAAGCCAACATCGGGCCAACGTTGTGCCGACCCCTATCCGACCATATGTGCCGATGTCCTCCCGACATTGAACCAACGTTATGCCAACCTCTTTTCCACCGTATGCCGACGTCTTTCCGACATTGGACCAACGTCGTCCCAACCCTTTTTTAACCATGTGCCGACGTACGACCAACGTTATGCCAATCCCTATCCCACCATGTGCCGACGTTGTTCCGACATTGGATAAACGTTATGCCAACCCTTATCCCACCATGTGCCGACGTCTCCTCGACATTGGCCCAACGTTATACACTGTTGCTCATAACGGTGGAATATTTTTTTTTATCCCAATTTATGGAATTATTTTAAAAATAATTTAAAAATACTAGATCTAGATAATAGTATACAGTCTCAGATTTTATTGAATAATAATTTGTCAATATGTGTTTTGCGTGACTGCTAAAGCATGTATATTATGCTACTATGTTTATCAACTAGGGGACCTATGCCCTTAAGTCATAAAGGACAGTAATGAGGATTAATGCCTCACAAAAGGGCTCTGATATAGCACATCGACATGGTGTTGATCCTGGGGCCTCACAGTTACGAGGCCATTGCTTTGTCACTGAACCATGACTGTACGCAGCGGGGGCTATGGTAGGGGGCAGTTTCCATAAATTAAAAAAAAAACAGAAAATGCAATAAAATTTCAATAATTTATTGCATTCTAGCCCGGTCCCCAACATAAAAAAATCCTCTGGACGGCCATGCATTATGGCTCAAGGCATGGGCACACAGAAGATTTTTTCATGTTGGAGACCGGGGTAGAATGCAATAAATTATTGAAAATTTATTGCATTTTCTTCTTTTTTTTTAATTTATGGAAACTGCCCCCTACCATAGCCCCCGCTGCGTACAGTCATGGTTCAGTGACAAAGCAATGGCCTCGTAACTGTGAGGCCCCAGGATCAACACCGTGTCGATGTGCTATATTAGTGCCCTTTTGTGAGGCATTAATCCTCATTACTGTCATTTATGACTTAAGGGTATAGGCCCCCTAGTTGATAAATATAGTAGCATAATATACATGCTTTAGCAGTCACGCAAAACACATATTGGCAAATTATTATTCAATAAAATCTGAGACTGTATACTATTATCTAGATCTAGTATTTTTAAATTATTTTTAAGATAATTCCATAAATTGGGATAAAAAAAAATATTCCACCGTTATGAGCAACAGTGTACCAACCCCTTTTCAACCATGTGCCGACGTCTCCATGACGTAGGACCAACGTTATTCCAACCCCTATCCCACCATGTGCCGACGTAGTTCCGACATTGGACCAACGTTATGCCAACCCCTATCCCACCACGTGCCGACGTCGTGGGCTGTTACGTTGCGCCATCGTCGCCAATGTGATGTTGGGCCAACGGCTTTCTTGCCGGCGGGCCAACGTTGGCTCGACAACGACGAAATGACATTAAGCCAACATCGGGCCAACGTCCCCCGACGTATGACCAACGTCATGTCAACCCCTATCCCACCATATGCCGACATAGGACAAACGTAATGCCAACCCCTTTTCCACCATGTGCCGACGTCTCCCTGACGTAGGACCAACGTAATGCCAACCCCTTTTACACTATGTGCCGACGTCTCCCCGACGTTGTCCTAACATAATGCCAACCCTTTTCCCACCAAGTGCCGACCCCTCCTCCACCATGTGCCAATGCTAGACCAACGTTATGCCAACCTCTTCTCCACCATTTGCCGACGTAGAAGCAACGTTATGCCAACCCGTATCCCACCATGTGCCGACGTTGTACCTCCCCTTTCCAGTTCATGCCAACATCCTTCTGACATTACCAACACCAACTCAAAAACATATTCACACCAACATCAGTCGTCCGTTCATAAGAACATCGTCAAGATCATACTACATCGGACATGTACAATCATTCAAACACATGCATCACAACGTGACAAGAAAAAGCCAAGTAGTTAAAGATTGGATTAAATAAATAAACAGAGCAAAATCCACAAAATGAAGATAGTAACAATTTCATCAAAATTAGACTGAATTTGAGAAAAGTTCATTATAGAACTCGACTTAGATCCCTCTGGAAGATATGTATAATAACAATATTGAAGCAAGAGGGACATGTTATTTTAATTTCGTCATGTCTATTATCTTGTACATTTTAATCACTATCAAAACTTGATAACAACTTATTTGTCCCATTTTAATGAAAAGTTCACCATCTTGCTTCTTAGAATTTGCTCTGAATACATCCCCCTCCCTCCAAAACAAAAGAACAAGGAAAATAAACTGATTTTGTGATAAAACATACTTTATTTTATGTGTAATAAACAAACTGTTGTAAATGTGAATACAATTATTGTACATCTTTCTTTTGTATTTTCGTGAATTCGAAAAAGATGTAAACGTAGTTTCAAGTTCAAGGTATCTCAATGTGTCACAATATAGGCCTACTATCAATGAATGCTAGGACGATAGGAGCTGTTATAAAAATGAATTGTCGCTTACACGTAACACAACATAACATACTGAAATTCATTGTACGAATATAATAAACAATCCTCACAATTTCCCGAGTAAAACAAAAAAAAACTTTCTGGCAGACGAACACGATTGCTTATGACAAGATTCCTCTACATATGTACAGCACAAAAATATAAAGAAATTAATAAAGTGTCCACCATTTGCATGCCAAGAACTAGGCAATTAATGTAAACAATGTTCCATAAAAAATTAAAAAAATAAAATTCAGAGAAATTGCCAACATTTTTTATGCTTAGGCATTTCAGAGATGCTGATACATTTCGTCGCCATATCTATTGTTAACACATCTACAAACTTTTTTTTTAGGAGGGATAGTATACATTGCTTGAATGTGTGAAGTAAAGCAATCGCTAAATGTTTATATAACAAGAGAGGAAATTTGAAAGTGAAGTAAGAAAGAGCAGAGCTTGTAAAGGGAAAAACACAAGTTTCTTCACTCTGATATACCACTTTCAATATTTCTTTAAATTGAGAAGAAGGTAGTACGAAAAACATTCAGTCACTTAGATATATGAAACATTTTTTTCTTACCTTTGAAATTCTTTATAGCATGCA